TCTTAACATTCAAAGAAACAGAGCATTTGGCTCATATATGGTGCTCTCGGACTGTTTGTAGGCCGGAACTGTTGATGTGGTAACAAATTTCTAGCATTAAGGTCGTTTCGGATGCAAACTAATTTCGCTACATGAACTGAACAAGAAAGAGATGTATTTGTTCATGTTGTTAACTGCATGTAACCCTGTGAGATACACATGTAATCATTGAAAACATAAATGCAAGAAACCATACATTACATTCGTTTGGAAAATGAAAGCACTGTCACTTCTATATTGGTCTCATCAACAAGAGGGACAGTTGTTAGTGATTCAATCTGGATTGCAGAACAGAAAACACAGGTTGCTAATAGTTGATCAATTGTGATATTTGTCTGTGAGGGATTATAATGGAAGAACATTGTCACGATGGTGGCGAGTTATCAAATAAGTCTTTTAAGCCACTAATAACAGTCAAATCAAACCCAAAACCCATGAGGTCAAGCAAATTCAATACTACATTGATAATTATTTTGCAGTCACCAACCATTTTAGCAACTTCAAAGTCACAGAACTAACTCATTAATCGCCATATGCAGCTTCATATATATCTCCTCAACTGATACTAAGAAGTTTCTGAAGTTGACCACTCAGAACTGCAGCTTTGAGGTCTGCATTGTAAAATCACAAGTTAAAAAGTAGACTGAAGGTAACAATGCAGATGAACAACTGACCACAGGGCAAAGAAGGAAGGGAAAACATATTTAATAGCACACACAAACATGCAAGCAAGCAGAAATACAGATGAGAGCTCACCATCAGAGCCGCCAATGTGCTTTCCATTCACAAATATTTGTGGGACAGTGGTTCGGCCTACTATATCTAGCAGAACACTCTGAATCTGGGCTCCATCATCTAAACAGGTACATTTTGAAAATTAATCCAAACCTTTTTCACATTATGGAGAAGCAGCTGCTCAAAGATCCATAAAAGCCATAGCTATGTCATACCTCGAAGATCAAGTTCGACGACAAAAGGTTGCTCATGTAATTCACTGAATATGCGCTTGGCACGCAAGCAATACCTAGCAGCAAAACAGCACAGCACACAATCCCTCATTCCAACATCACTTAAATTCACACACAGAGTTCTTTTTCTAAACATTCATGCTCAACTTGCGAACTATTTCAATAACAGAAAATTGAAGATTTAGTAGAGGAAACGCACCAATTCATTTCCCAGAATCAGAAAACAATGCAACAAACCCATGAAAATGAAAATTTTCTTATTGATAATCAAATACTAATAAAAAGTTAAAGTAATTTATAAATTAGTAAAAAGGTCCCATTTGAGATGATGGTTTCAAATTTCCTCGACATTAACACTCTCATAATTATCAAATTGACCAACTCGTAATTCTCAAATTCCAATTTGATCGCTTTCTGAATTCCCAATTAAGACCCCAACCCCAAGACCTCAAATTTATCACAAAAGCTAAAACGAACAAGCAACAGAGATAGAACGTAACGTACGGGCAATAGGATTTGGAGAAGATGGCAATCTTGTTGGAGTAGATGACGTTTTGTACGAACGCCGAAGGCGAAGTCGAAGCTTCTGCGACGACGACGTTTCCCAACAATACCAGAGCCGCCGCCACGGCCGCGATCGCAGCACCGCCCAACAATTCGAACCTACGCATCTTCCCACGACGACACGACGATCGCTCTGTTACGACATTCCCACCATTCTATTATTCTCCCATTATATCAAGATTACCCGTGGGCCTGGCCCATTAATTAGCGGCCCCAATAATAAAATTCCCCCAATTTTCAAAAATTTCATTTTTAAGTTTTCAAGCATCAGAGATTCACAGCAACATATACAAAAAGATTTCATTTTGGGTGATTATGAATTTCATTAAACAAATCTATAATCAAATCCAGAATACAAATATCTTCAAATCTACAACATCATCAATCAAATTGAAGCCAATCGAACGAAGCAAAAATTAAGAATTGGAGTTTTCATCACTTTTGTAGAGCTTGTTGTATTCGTCGAGCTCGTCGTAATACACATCCCAGACACACCGGACGCATCCGCTTCCGCAGCAATCGCCGGGCTCCGGCTTCTCGGGGGGCGGCGGCGGAGGAGCCTCTTCCTTGACGGGTTTCAATTCTTCTTCCTTCGACTTCGCTGCTTCGATTGGTTGAGTGGCTTGGGTCTTTGTAGCTGCATCTCCTTCGCGGTCGGCCATGGAGTTCTGGGCGGTGGTGGTGGCGCGAACGCAGAAGGGTCGTCGTGGTCGCGCTGGGTTGAGTCTGGAGATTCTGATGCTTATAGCTGCTCCTCTCATGGCCAGGCACGTGTGGGTTCGGGCATTCTCTGTTTCTGGCGGTTTGTGATTGGCTGGCGCTGGGGTGTACGGTATGAGCGCGCGCAGACAATGACGATGCGCGGCCGTGTCCATACAACGGCTGGTTAGGATCCAATGTACTCGTAATGGAATGGTGGTGGTCAAAGTATTTACGAGGTGGGCATACTGAGGCTCTCCACACGGGCTTATTTGATTGGTTTTAAGTTGCATTATAATTCGATAAATGGGCCGAGGCCCAAGTACAGGTTTGTTGGGCTCAGAAGGGGACCTAGCCCAGTTTTTACCAGGGCTATTTTAGTCTTTTTATCCTCCTCCGGGACACGTGGTGGCTATTGAATTTGTTTGGTCTCCTCCAGGAGATTTTTATAAATAATAAAGAAGGTAAGATTTTCATCAACAAAAAAAAAAGTGTAAGAAAAAAGTAAATACAATAAAGATTTTTTAATTTTGTTTTTGGTTTCCCTGTGTTTTGCTTGGGGAGCAAGTAGGAATCAATTACTAACGGAAAGGGACAACTGCAGGATTTGATTTTGTCTTGGAGAGCAAGCAAAGCGAGTAAATGGGGGGCAGAGCAAGGATTGAGTGTCTATAAATAGAGCAAAGATGAGAGACCTTTCCTTGTGCTTTCTAAGGGTCTCTCTTTGATATAAGAAACCCTAGCAAAGCCCTCACTATTTGCTTAGGCAAAACCTGCTTTTGATTCCATCATGGCAACATTCATCAACTCTTTCAACCTCTTGGATGAGAATGAGCTCATCGGCATTGTCGATGCGAAGGCGGAGGATGCATTTATGGCAGTAGTGAAGAAGAACAAGGAAGAGGAGAAAAAGAAGAAGGCGGAGGAGGTGAAAAAAATGAAGAAGCCACAAGGGCAGCGGAAGACAGAGTTTTGGTACTCTAATTCCAGGCCAATTCGAGCAAAGCGTCTTGTGCTTCCCCGCAGTTTTCTCAAAAGCCAGATTGTTCTTTGCAAAAACAAAGATCAAGATCAAGGCCAAGGCAACGGCGTGCAGGTTAAGGATTCAGCACAGTCTGGTCCAAGTACTGGCCAGTCCCTGAATGGTGCTGATCCTAAAGCTGTAAGACCTGAGTCCAGTACTGCTAGTACTGGCTCTGAGGGGTCCAATCATTACAGTGGCTCTCCTCAGAGGGCTAATGGAGGCCAATATTATGGAAGGTCTAATCGCGGTCATAATTATCCGAGGCGATATTACCAAGAGGGTAATGGTACTTATGAAGGGAGGGGTAAGAGTCACGTAGAAGGAGGAAAGATTAATAATGGAGGCCAAAATTATGGAAGGGCTAATCATGGTTATAATTATCCGAGGCGATATTACCAAGAGAGTAATGGGGGAGGTTATAATGGCAATTATGATCAGCAGAGGGCTCAAGACGGTTTTCGGAATGAGAGGGGTAGGTGGTGGAGAGGTAATGGTTACCAAGGAAGAGGAAGATACTTTGAAGCTGAAAATAACCATGGTAACAATAATGGATTGGGATTGGAGAAGGAGGAGGAGGGGGCTCAAGTAGTTGTGGAGAAGGAGCAACAAGAACAGGGTGGTGTGGAAGAGGGGAATATGCAGCAACAAGTACAGAGTAATGGCGTCAATGAAAACAGCAACAAGAGTTCTTCTGAAGGAAAGAAAAAGCCGAACATTAATGGAAGTCTACGGAGAAAGCTGAAGAAGCAAAAAAAGGAAGCAGAGGTTAACAAAAACCAAGGCGACAACAATGCAGTAGCAGCTCCTGAAGGTACCGGTGCTGCTGTAAGTTCTATTTCTGTTCAGAAAAAGTTTACTGATACATTCACTTTGAAAGAATATGAGGAGGAGGTTGCCAAAAAAAAGGATGTGGAAGTTGAGAAAAAAAGCTCTGATGGCGATTGTGATAGGACTGAGACTCTTGTTAAGGAATTTGAATCGATGCGAGTTATTGGGAAGAAGAAATTGGAGGAGGAGAAGAAGGTCTCTGTCCCCAAGCCCCAAGACAAGTCTGCAGAGGTGAACAGGAAGAAAGATGGTGCTAACGTGAAGATCAAGACACAGACTATTAACATCAATGAATTCCACAGACCACAGAACAAGAAGAAAGATGGTGTTCCTGAAGGACATGATTCACAGAAGGATGGTAGAATTGAACGACATCATCATTCACAGAGGGATGGTAGAATTGAAGCACATCATCATTCAGAGAGGGGTAGATTTGAAAGAAATCATCACTCACAGAGACAGAGGGATGGTAGATTTGAAGGACATCATAATTCACAAAGGGATGGTAGATTTGAAGGACATCATTCACAGGGAGACGGCAGATTTAAAGGACATCATTTACAGACGCATGGTAGATTTGAAGGGCATCGTTCCTGTGAAAAAGTCTGCTTCATTCGAAATAGATGAAGGCCAATTTCCAGACTTGGGAAAATCCAGAATATTAACTGTAAAAAAATTGAAATAGAAGAGATGGCATAGAGGTCAGAGGCACTTTTCGGATTGTGTTTATGAATTTTTGGAATAATATTGCTTTATCAATTTCCTTGGGGCATAATTTTATTAATTCTTTTGCTCATGTCTTAATTTTCTCCCTGTGCTCTGAGATGCTTTTGGTTTCCATGATGGCGTTGTTTGTATGCTTTCAGGTATTGCATTGCTTTTGTGAGACTCCAGTTAATCTATTACTTCTTAACAAATAGAGTATCAAACTACATATTTCAGAAAACACACAGTACAATTTACAAGTACTCAATAAGTAAAACAGGAAAGGTTGTTCCAAATCGACCTGTCGAAATAAAGATGTAGGAATAGGACTATAACTATACTTTGTAGATCACTTGTATGATTCAATGCAAATTCTGCCTTTTAAGTCCCAGGAAAAGCAAAAGTAGGCCCAAGTAGTCAAGATTGTAGGCCAATCTGATAAATTTCGTTTTGAAGTCATTCCATGGAGGATATCTAGGCTCAAGTTCAACGAAGAAGTTTCCTCGCAAGACTGCTTTCTCATGGCTGAAAGTATCGAAAGAATACTTCCCATGGTACCTGCCAAAGCCACTCTGACCAACACCACCAAAGGGTAGAGCATCACAGAGAAACTGTATATAGAAAGATGTGTAGTGTAGTTAGGTTTTTGGCCCCCTTTTATTGTTTTGAAAAGCAAATAGGAAAAAGGAAAACACTTAGAAAAGAACAAATGCAGTACCTGAATCAAGACGTCGTTGAAAATCACACTTCCTGACGATGTTTCTGATAGAATTCGTTGCCTGAATTCTTCATCTTTAGTGAAGGCATAAATGGCTAGAGGTTTTGGCCTTGAGTTGATGAATTCTATGCTTTCTTGAATGTTTTTCAACTGTAAAAATAGACAAAAAAGGACGTTTTTGAGAACTGGAGAAGTTAATATTCACCAAAGGGTATAGCAATTCTCACCGTGATTATTGGAAGCAGTGGACCAAAAATTTCTTCAGTCATGATTGCAGCATCAAGTGGAGGATCTAACAGGATTGTTGGTTCGATGAACCTGAAAAGTTTGCAGAACAAAACCGATAAGCGTATACAGAGACTAATTATTTTGTTGCTTGGGCCAGACCAGCAAAGCATTGTTAAACTACAAACTTCAAGCCAGGGGGGAAAGAAAAAGCCGACACCACACAAAGTAATAAATCTGAGTTATCTTATCCAATTCAAAAAACCGACTAAAAGGATTGAGAACTTACAGATTTTCTTCATCAAGTGAACCGCCATGTACAATGGAATCTGCCACAAGAGGGTCTTTGAGGAGATTGTGCAGCCGCTCAAAATGGCGCCTATTTATGACTCTGGCTATGCAGTTTGAGTCTTTGGGGCTATCGCTATAAAATCTCTTGACTGTTTTCTTTAGTAATTCGATCTAAAAGACATACAACTAGGATATGAAATCATCTCAAAGCCAATGGACCATTAGGCCTCACATAACTATAAATCAAAGAATTTATTCAAGACAAGTTTACCAGAGTGGAAGCAAGCTTTTCCTCGATGAGTATATAATCAACTCCTATACATGCCTGCCCATTGCAAGGCCCCCACTTCCCTCCTACAATTCTTTTGATAGCCACCTTCAGGGCCAACACAAAAAAAAAGCATTTAATACGAGTAAATTTATAGTTTAAAGAGGCACCAAAATAAAGCAACTCAGAAAACCTTTAAGTCTGAAGGATTGGAGAGGGAATCTAGGATAGTAGGGCATTTTCCACCCAGCTCTAGAGTAACAGGTGTTAAATTCTTTGCAGCTGCAGACATGACAATGCGCCCTACCTGCGGACTTCCTGAATTGTGAGAGGCAAATTAGTGTTTGAAGCAATTTGTTATTGATGACAGTTGTATGTATTGCATTCTTGATAATCTTCATGAGGGATCACCAAAGAAACCAGGAATGATAAGGAAATCTGTTCATTGTGAAAGAAATTCTATATTCTGAGGCGATTGTGGAGATCTATACCGGTAAAGAATATCTTGTCCCACTTCTGCTGCAGGAGTAGTTCACTAATTTCTGCCCCACCCTCAATAACTCTAACGGCTTTAGAGTCCATGTATTGAGGGATGGTGTTGGCAAGAAAAGAAGAGCAAGCCGGTGCTTGTTCTGAAGGTTTTAGAACCACTGTGTTACCTGCAGATATTGCTCCTATCACAGGGTCCAATGTCAAGGCTGCATAAATAGCAGAACATGAGCTTTTCTACTTTTAACTGTTAACAAAAATCTAATACATGCAGTTTTATGATATTGTTATTGCCAAGTTGCGAAGGTAGAAGCAGGGTGGCTTGGATGCCTAATGCATCAACAGAAGTCTCAAAACCCGAGAGATATTTCCATTGGAGAATCTTATATCAACATAACAAAATTCAAACAGTTTTCGCTAGTGTTACAATTAAAAATGCTGTCACAAAGCAACTGCTGAATTCCTTCCTTCTTGTGTAGCAAAAGAAACAATCATGTCAAAGATCCGGATATAACTGGACTCACATATTGGGAAGTTCCAAGATGCAAAAATGAGAACCACGCCGAGTGGTTCGGGCAGCACCTCTCCTCTTGTGGGGAACAAGAGCAATGGTAATCGACTCTGCCAATATCAAAATGCCAGCAATTCACATAGATGACAATAACCAGAACCCACAAAATCAGTTTTAGTGTACAGAGGCAAGTGAGGATATGGTATCATGGGAGGGTTGAAATCTCATTACCAGTTTTACTCTGTCATCTTACCTTAATCATTTTTAGCTAAACCCTAAGGCCTATGTGTATGTTATCTTCCCCCAGTCTGAACATAAGTTCATGAGTTCATAGCCACGCCCAACAACAGATCATTTAATCAAATTACCTTTTTAGGGGCCACCCATTTCTCCAAATTGCTCAAAGTATAGTTGATTGTTTTTGTCACAATTCCAATCTACAATACAATGAAATAGCAAAAGCAGAATTAGCCAATTCTTATATTATATACAAACTAATTTCTTTGCCTTGAAAAAGAAAAAAAAAAAGAAAAAGAAAAAGCAAAGAAAAAAAGAAGAAGAAGAAGAAGAAGCAATCTACCTCATCCCGATAAGCTTCAACTGGGTGCTTGCCTAGATCTTCATAGAGTGCTTTGAAAATCTTGTCTTCCTGATCATGGATGAGCTGAAGAAGAGCACTAACTTGGTTTTTTCTCCATGCAACACTTCGGGTTCTGCCACTTTTGAAGGTCTGCCTCAGCTCAGACAATGTTTCTTCTACTTCTGTAATTGCTTCCATGGTGGTATTCATAAGCTCTGAAACCCCAAGAATGTCTACAACTTTTATTGGTTTGGCTCTCTGTTGCCAACTTTTAAACTAACTTCAGTTGCACACACCAAGGAAGTCGCATAAAAAGAAATCCAACTATTTACGTCTTGCTGGTTTAAAACGAGCTAGAAATCAATGCTACTTGACCCAACAATCTCGAAAAACCACGACAATAAATAAATGGAAAAGGAATTAGTTTGGATCGTTCACATGTGCTGCCCGATCACAAAGGACATGTCCAACAGCAGCGAGTTTGAAACGTTAGGTAATGGTGTAAAGTGTACACTATTTATCTCCATCTCTCCCGTAACGTTTCGCTGTTTCAGCTTCACAACGTGTCATGTAATTGCGATCAACAATCAGAAATCCCCCACATACAATAAATTTTAGCAAAATCTTTAAAAAAACTGTTGAAAATAGGGATTATTGTGGAGCTTCAATAGGCTTTGCTGTCACATGGTTAAAAAGTCACTATAGTCCACTGACTACCTAAAAACATTAATGGGGCAGAAGAGACAGAGAAGTCATAGTCGCGATTAACAAATAACCATAAACTATAAATGAAATCGAAAGGAAGTGGGCCAATGGTTTAATATCATTATCACGTCATAATTATGAAATAGAAGGCTATTAATAACTCCCTAGATATTTTTTTTCATAATCATATCTCCAACAGTAGTAGCAAACTAAACTCTTTAAATTGAAGTTTGTTAATCTATGTGACAATTTGAAAAGTTTTGTTTACTACTTTAATAATTTATGCTCTAACAAACCCTTCAGTTCAATTAATATAATGTTATGGAAAAGAATGAAAAATATGAAAACATGTGAAAAATGTCTATGTATTTATTTATTGTTTGAAAAGAAAGAAATGCATGTTTTTAATATTTTCAAGGTAGGTTTTATTTTTTCAAAGTAAAATTAAATGTTTTGAATAGATAATGTCAACTTATCAGATAAAAAGATGTTGCAACTTTGATGACTGAATTTGACAAAACTGTTTGAGAGGGTTTTGATTATGTGGCTCGCCTATTTTAGCATTCTAAAGTTGTTGAAAAGGCTATTAAAGATGCTCTAAGCTTTCAATATTGATTGATATTAATATTTTTTATATTTTATTAATACTAATTTAACCACCATTTATTTATGTACCTCGTCCAATATTATTATTTTTCACAGAGAGAAAAGAAAAATATCATAAACTTGTTATTTAGGTGTGTTGTTTCTCGTTTGGACATGCTTTAAGTCTCTGAATATACCATTTTAGTTGCCGGCATCTGCATGCCTCCTAGGGTTCATGGCAAGACATTTGAAAATTATCATTTGTCGGTGCAATTCTGTATTTTTTTGGTCTAACAAGTGACATAGTAATCTTGGACACATAATAAATCATTAAATCTTTCACACATTTCAAAATTGCTTAGATTTGTATTAGCTTTAGCTCAAGTGGAGAACAAAGGAGATAGACAGCACAAGTACAAACAATTATCATAAATTAACCTTGCAATTGCAATATTTTATTTTATTTTATGCATGGCTTAATTAAAATCTCTTTCACTGATTTTTTTTTTAAAAAAATCATGTTTTGTTTTGAAGATCGAGATTGAAGGTAGTGTTTTCGGGCCCATAGTAGAGGCAAGCCCGGGCTTCCATGTTTCTGCTTTGAGCCTAAATTTGGAGAAGAAAAAAACATTAGAATTTAGAACAGAAACTTTAGATTTGGGCCATGCTACTCTCTCATAAGCAGGCCAATTTGCGAATGTATATCTCAGACGATAACCGAGATGGTGGTATGCACGCAAGTGATTGATTTCTGACCGTTAATCAGATATGCAGCTTAGGATTCACTGGCTTAAGCAATTACTGATAAGACTTTTCTATATGTTGTGAGTCAAATATGCCAACATCCCCAAGCAATTTGAATTAGTTACTTTTTGATATGACCAACATCCTTTTTTTTTTTTTTGGGTCTGAAATTCATGTTGTATTAAAAAAAAACCCCAAAACAGGGAACAGATATACAAACAGAAGGCTAAAGCCAGGATGAGCCAACAGAACACAAGAACAAATAACAAAAGCAGGGTCAGACATTGCTAGATTCCAGCTGAGCCTAGAACAACAGTCCTTATATCATATGTAGTACATATATACAATGCACTTTCCATTTTTTTGCATTTTATTTGAAAGGAGAACAATTTTTCTCTATTTACTTTTCTATTTTAGGGATGTCATGGGCATTGGGTTGGAAATTGCCTAATTGTTGGCTGTCCAATCCAATCAAATCAGTTTCTGCGCAGCCCAGAATCAAATCCACAAGGTAGACAGCCTAGGTGCCAATTTAAGCAATCGGCCTATGAAGCAAGTTTTGCTTAATTAAACATATTGTTAAGGCAAATATATGAACCCAATGAAGTGATCGGCAGTCCAAGAGATGCCCTCTTAAGAAAACTAACACAAAAACAAGCCAACAAGTACTCCATATCACAGATTGTGAAAATATCAAGAGCTAAAACCAAGGCATGCATATACATATAGGCATGAAGCTTTTAAATTACAGAGAGGTCATTTAGATTCACTCATTCTGATGATACTTCAGAGTCCTGTCTCTCCTAGGGAGAGAGAGAGAGAGAGAGAGAGAGAGAGAGAGATGGGACATAAGATGTGTGCTGCTAACCCACAACGTTAATATCTTGGAAGTCTCTCACTCATTCAACCTCGATATTGAGGTCAAAGTAAATTAGATATTTACACCTTCAACATGTTGAGCCTGGCTTGTAGCTTCAGTCTCAAAGAGAAAGACTCAAAGATATGTATGAAGATACATACTTCAAGTCTCCACTTTAAAATTGAAAGAACCGTCAACTTTATATGTCATGAATGGATGTACACATTTTTATGTTTATTTCTTTCATCACATGTTGCGTTATAAACATATTAGATATAATGCATATGACATATATAAATTTCTCTAGTAGGTATATGTAATTTAACCTGCATCCCTACTATAATTCCTAACTTTTCTTATCTCCTCCAATCTCAACCTTCATATTAAAAATTTCATCACTTCACACTAACTTATTTTGAAATTTTGAAAAAAAAGTATATTAGTATACAAACTCTTTATAAATTTTGAGCTCCTCTGACTAACTCAAGTGCCCTTGATCAACTTCAACCGATGAGCTTAGCAACAAGCACGCCGAACAGAACTTGTGTTTGTGCTGTCATGGTCTCAACAGTGTAAAATTTAACGTTATAGCTAGCTTTAGCTAAAGCCTAAAGCTATGTCTGTCTACAAGGGATAGCTAGCTATATATTAAAAAAGCTTTACAAGACACTACTTAGCAGTTAACACAGTTAGCAGTTTATCAGCAACGACATTCTTGGTTACCCTACAAACTAACTTTTCATCTCACTTTCCCGATATAGAAACACTCTCTTCTTCCTCATCTCACTTTCATTATATAAACAAACCAACCCTCTTCCCCCATTTGTTCAGAAATTAAACAAGATCCAAGGACCTAGAAATTTTCGAAGAAAGAAAAAAATAGAGGAAATTGAGAGAGGAAACATGGGTCGTGGGAAGATTGAGATCAAGCTGATCGAAAACCACACAAACAGGCAGGTGACCTACTCCAAGAGAAGAAATGGGATTTTCAAGAAGGCTCAGGAGCTCACCGTCCTCTGTGATGCCAAGGTCTCTCTCATCATGCTCTCCAACACTGGTAAAATGCACGAGTATATTAGCCCTACCACCACGTACGTCCTCTCTCTCTCTCTCTCTCTCTCTCTCTCTCTCACATCAAACCCTATTTTTATTTTGTTGTTTAATTATTTTCTCCTTCCTTTTGTTCCACTTCGATGTGTTTAATTTTTTTTAATTTTTTTTATATATGTAACAGGACCAAGAGGATGTATGATGATTACCAAAAAACTTTGGGGGTCGATCTGTGGAGCTCACACTACCAGGTTAACCAAGCACATACCCTCTTAATTATTTTATTATCTTCTCTTTTTTATTTTTATTTTTTATATATAGATATAAATAAATAAATAATTGTTAGTTTTTGTTTCTGGTTAATTTGTTTGCTTCTTGGTGGGTGCAGGCAATGAAAGACACCTTGTGGAAACTGAAAGAGATCAACAATAAGCTGAGGAGAGAGATCAGGTAATTGGGAAACTGCAGAAGAAGAAATCAATTTATTGTTGAGTGGACGAATATTTCTGATTAGGGTAATTAATATTATTATATATTTGTGAAATTAACAGGCAGAGGTTGGGTCATGATCTCAATGGCCTGACCTATGAGCAGCTGCATTCTCTGGAGGATAAGATGGCTTCTTCCTTGGAGGCCATACGTGAAAGGAAGGTCAGATTTTTGTTTCTAACTTTCCGTTTTTGCTATTAGAAGTTAATCACAAAGTTCAATTGGTGTTGCTTGGACATGGATCTGCAAAAATCTTAACTTAGGGTTTCAGAAATTCCAGTCTTTTGTGTGTTTTATTTAAATCCCCATAAATAAAACAATTTTGTAGAATTTCAGAGAAGATAGGGTAACAATTTTTCATAATAAATAATTTCTTAGACAATCTAAAAGGAAACCTTAATAATCTCTGTCAATCAGCTGTTATGGAAGTTTGTGTGTGAGGTTAATCTTTTTGCCGGATTCTTTACAGTACCACGTGCTCAAAACTCAGATGGAGACCTACAAGAAGAAGGTAATTAAGAATTTTTACTGGATAGTTTTCTATATATATATATATTTGGTAGTATTGTGAATTAATCCCACTGCTGCAGGTGAAGAACTTGCAGGAAAGAAGAGGAAACATGCTACATGGTTATGTAAGCAAGCATTTATATATGCACCCTGAAAAATTAATTACGTTTATAATTAAGTTTTATATGTGGAGTCCTTTTGATTGATTGAGTAATTTTGTTTGGAAATTTGGAGTTTGATCAGGAAGTAGCCTCTGAGGATCCACAATATGGGTACGTGGACAATGAGGGAGACTATGAATCTGCGGTTGCATTGGCAAATGGGGCGTCCAACTTGTTCACAATCCACCTCCACCAAGACATCCGTGACCACGCTAACCTCCACCACC